TCCGAAGCATTCGGAAAAACCCAGCTTACCCGCGCAAGCGGACATTGTTACTCCCGCATTTAAATAAAACGATTTAAACAGCATCGCACTGACGTCGTGACACAAACAGACGTCGTTTCCGCTACATGTCACTCACTACCGGAAGAAAGCTGCCGGTATCTTCCTCTCTCCAAAATTGAGCGGCGTCTGAGTTTCACCATGACCGTTTACCTTTGCTCGTGTACTTCAGCGAGTTGTGCCCCCGAGGTACGGATTTCGGGGTGTGTCGGTGAATTGAAACTGCCAACACCCCCTTATAAAACCAGTGCAGGTGTGAATGAGCGCTTCTACTTTTACTTTTGAATACAATCATCTGTAATTGCGCTTAACGACAGAGAGTGAGTCATTTTGCATCTCTGTCGTTATTACGGTAGTATTATATTGTCACTTTGACATTACAGCCCCCATTTACATTCCGTTTTCTTTGAAACCTAACTCCACCAGCGAGTGAAACAAAATGATTTAACGTTAACTCAAGCAAGGTCAGAGTGACTTATCTGAGCTGGTTTGAGTTGCTTGATATTTCATCTTTAACACTTTGGCGCCAGAATGATGACGACATACACTGTTTTAAATACGTTCACTTGACAGCACATACTGAAATTCATTTTCTTTTCTTTTTTTTTTTTTATTGGCGAGCCTTAAATCCGTCCATAGCAGAAACGATTTCAAGTTAACATACTGCTGAGCGAGTTGAGAGGGACATAAGCATCCCGGTTTTGAGGTTCCTGTGATTTCGCCCTGAAGACTTTTCTTCGGCGCCGAAACGATAACACCATACAGCGTTTTGGGGGGCCATCTACACGCTGTAAAAACTAAACATTCTGAATAAAATCGATGCGACTTCCGGGTGCGCCTGAGCAGCCAATAGAAGACAAAGTAAAGCCAGCGGAACAAATAACGGTGACTCACCGAAGCACGTTGAGACTTTCAGCCGAGTCCAGGATGACAAACACGGTCTGGGGCTCTAGCGCACTCCGGCCCTGGCCATCGCTCGATTCCCGGTCGGGACTGATGGAGGACATTTCTCCAGCAGTACCAAAGATACGCAGTTTCCAAGCCGACCGAAATGAACACAGAGGAAAGAAGCCTGATTTCCCAGCAGCCACCGCGCCCACACATACACACCAATGTGCAGCTGTGAGCGTAGACATAAAACACACAGATCGGTCGCGTTCGTTTTTTTTGCTTCCACTAAACTTTTCAGAAAACATAAACAGGAAAGTGACGGACACCAAGTGGTGAAGATGATAATGAAAAATAGGAATCGTTTAAAATGTTTCCACGTGAAAAATGTCGAACTTTAAATGAGGAAGCTCAACCCGGAATTCTAGTTTTCTATCTCTACGTACAGGCAGGATAGACTACGGAAAAAGCCGATCGCCCTCTACCCAATAGCGTCGCAGTTTCAAACCCGGATGCCGCTGTGCCTGCCCCTCTCCTGCTGTTTGGCGGCCATCTTGTTTGTTTTCGTCTTTCGTTTGGGCGATTCAGGGAAAATCCAACGTGACGTCAAGCAATCGGCTGACCTATATGGACAGCTGAAGTGACCAATCAGCAAGTCTGGGTGAGGAGGGAGAGGCGGGTCTGCGTATTTGTTTTTCTGTCAACTGGATTAAATAAATACTGTACCTTAAAGATGACGCCTCCCGCCCCAGCCTTAAAAGATCAAAAAACAGTATGGCACCATAGAGTGATATCAGCCAGAGTCTAATTTTGTTTTATGTTCATTATGCTTATGTTTAGTTTAAAATTAAATGATGAGCAGCGAGAGAAAAAAAGCAACTTTGATGAACAAAAGACATTTTTATTAAATTTTATTAGGTTCCACTGTCAACGTTATTGAAGCCAAATCAAGGATGCAAACTATCAAGTGTCCAGTATTATTTGTTGCCGTAATGTGTATGAATAAATACTCTTTCAAATCAGTGTGTCCCAACATCTCAAGGCACACCACGTCGCAAAACAATTCACAAAAAGTGGATAAACGGTTTCGGTTAATTATGGACCTTCTGTCATCAAGTGGAAGAGCGATTGATTGTTCCCCCTGCTACTGTATGTATAAATTAATAAACAAAAAAATTATTTTCATCGAAAAAAAAGTATTTTTTCCATCAATAAACAAAAAAATTATTTTCATCGAAAAAAAAGTTTTTTTCCATCAAATACTGGATAATTTCACGTGGCCCATCTGATAATGTTTCAGGTACACTGATGGGGAAATCACAATTTGACATACACTTTATCTTTAACTGTTGAATCTATCTGTTTAAAAAAAAACAAAGAAATGTGGCCCTTGAGCAATAGCCGCTTGTATAAAGTGCGAAATGACAGTAGTCGTCAATCCTTTGTTAATGCTTTATTTTAATGTCTTCAACACATTATGTCATTCACAAGGCAAAGTGACACAAAAGGTTTAAGGAAGGCAGTGGCCGGCCACTAACCAATCATCTCTCTTCAATCATCAATAACCATGTTGCGGCTGCTGCTGTTACCGCTGTTCCCATGGCAACCAAGCAGCATTGGAACTCACCACTCACCATAGCAACAAGACATCATAACTTGTGGATATGAGCTGTTACGAAGGCGACATCGAAGGGCAAGTTCTGGAACCTGGTAGCTGCTATAGAAACACGAGTCTCCTGATCATTCAGGGGTTATGACGAGAATTTTTTTTTTCAAAGATGAACTGTAACAGGAAGTCCATTAATGTGACTTTAATCTGAATATGTTGTCTCCATTGTAACAGCAGCCATCTACAGTCCACGATAATGTATGTGTGACCTGTAAAAATAGAAACATACTCACCAGAGGCAAAAAGCCCAACAACGATAATAACATTATTACAATAGAACACTGCATTTGGCACAAGTTCATTTAGAACTCATAGCGCCACCTTGTGACCACATGTAAACATCAGCACCGCTCGTCTCCCATCGCGAGTTACGTGACTGGAAGGATCCCATGCAGCCTAGCTTGTCTGGTAGCTCACGAATGGGAAAGATTTGTCATCATCCGGCACTAGAGACGTCATCGAGCATTCAGCACCATGTCGACTAAAGCACAAAGACACAGAGTCAGAAGCTTCCGAGTACATTTAAAAAAAAGAAATCAACTCTAAGGCCATTTCCTTCTAACATCACTGAGGGAAGAGGAGCACCCAACACCGAAAATGTGCAGCAAAAGCCAAGTTGGAAGCCAACCAAAAATGACTTAAACACAAACACGCTGATCAAATGAACAAACGTCATCTAAATTGTGGAATAAGATTAGCCGATCGTAGCCTGAAGAGCCTGCTTCCTCCCAGGAAGGTGGTCAGGTGCTATTCCAGGCTTTGGTGCTAAAAACATGGATCGAAATCCAAGTTCGAAACATAACCCCCTCCCCTAAAAGTCTTTCATACAAACACAGTGGTTTTAATAAACAAACGTCATCCACGTTCCAGAATAAGATGAGACTAGTTGAGCACAAAACACAAGCTCACCCTCTCAGGAAGCGACTGACTTGCTATGATAGGCCTGTAACTCAAAAAATACGTGAACAATGTGTCATGGAAGTTAAGTGGGGGGGAAAAAAAATTCTGATCAACACGGTCATCTTCAGGAACACAACCCATCAAAGCTGCAGAATAAGACTCGCCTATCTGAGAACAAAGCGCTTGTGTTCCTCCCAAGAATCTAGTCAGTTGTTCTGCTAAATTTGGTGCGAAAAACACGGCGTGACAGCCATGTTGGAAACACAATCCCACAAAAGAATCATTTTTGAACACAGTGATCTTAATGAACAAACTCGTATGAAAGTCCCAGAATACGATATATGGATGTGTGCATAATATAGCCGAGTTCAGGGGTGGCCAACCAGTCAGAGGAAAAGCCAATTTTTTTAACTGTGTTACTGCAAAGAGCCACATCATACCCTTCCTCGCACACACACATACACACACACACACGCACGCACATGCGCCGCTTGCACGCACACACGCGGGTGCCCACCAGTGCACTCGCGCACATATGCACGCACACCACGATGAGCAACAGTCGGAATGGGCCGAAAATGAATGAAAGCTAAAGATACAAACAAAAAAATCTTTTTTTTCCAACCCATTTCCTCCTCCCACTCATTGCGGTCGACTTGGGACCAGTTCTCTGGTTCCCGGTCGATTCTGATCGGTATTGGGCACACCCCTGCCTTAAAATCAGAGATAATTCGCTGACTAGCTTAGCACTTAGCGCCGTTGTTTGCGCATGAGCGGTGATGCAGTCATCTGATTGGTTGCCCTCTATGTCAATCAAGTAACGGGATTGATGATAGACTGACGTAGTACGTTCTGTGTAGTTAGCGCCTTGTTTGAATGGCATGCCGAGGAACGCCGAGGCGTTTTCGACGCTTGTCGTGTGAAAGCCCGGGAGCCGCATTGAACCAGCCAAAGAGCCGCATGCGGCTCGTGAGCCGCGGGTTGGCCACCCCTGGCCTAGTTTAACACAAAGACCCTGACTCCCCCCACCCACAGAAAAATAATCTAGTCAAATGCCATGCTAGGGTTAGCCCTCAAAACAACATGGTAAACATTCATGGTGGAAATAAACAAAATAGTGACTTTCCCACAAATGCGGTGATCTTAAAGAACAAATGTCATCAAAGTTCCAGAATAAGATTGGCCTCGTGTAGCAAAATCGAGCCTGCTCCCTCACAGGAAGCTACTCAGTTGCTACGCTAGACTCGCTAAAAACGGCTGCTTCCCTCCCGCTGACAGTCACGTGACTGCAGGTGAATAAATTATATTTACAAAGTTTGAACATTTGGTATCAAGGAAACAACACACGCGCGCGCACACACACACAACATCCAACAGCGAGTCATCAGAATGACAGTAAGAACAGAACAAAAGAATGACTGAAAAATGTCAAACGGGCTCTGTCTAATTCTTGATTACTCCTTTTCATTTCCTCTATCTGTTTTTGTTTTTTTTACCAATGAAATGCAGTGGAATGAAATAACATGACCAGAACCTGAAATTAAAATGAAATATGGCCATTATGAGGTCATAATTAGCCATTCCATCCAGCCGTGTCCCGTCAGGACATCTCCGTCACACTGCCACTGCACTTGGAATTCTTCGACCGGGGTGAGGCATCATCACTTTTGCGGTGGAATTATGGGTAGAGCATGAAATCAATCAAAACAAGATGGCAGCGTCAAGAGGAAGAGGATTGTGCTTTCAGACAGCATGTGACACCACAGCTGTGCTCATGGGTAATGTCCCATCTTGTGTCCATGTCGATTAAATCAACTCCAACAGTTGGCCCCACCCCCCCTGCGTCACCACTCCTCCAATCAAATCACGTGTTGTCGCCCTCCGTCCCCTCCGGCTCCTCCCCCTCTTCCTCCACGCTCTCTACGATTGGGTGCTGAAGCTGAGGCTCCTCCCCTTTGCCGGCCCTGGACAATGCATCCATCCAACGGCGCTGAAGCTCCTCGCCGTCTGCGCTGAAGTAGAGCGTCAGGTGACTCTGGGAAATCTTAAAGGTGTGCCGACGCTCCAGGCGGTCACATGACTCCGGGAGGGAAACATCGAAGCCAATCAGAGGCACGCTGCGCTGCGCTTTCACATCCTGAATACACATGGCAATGCAATGAGGACCAATTGCGCATTTCAAATTATTCGGCGGGTCAAGGCAGCATGGTGGACAAGCAATTAGCACGCCCGCCTCACGCTTTAGCTCAGGGCTCGGGCCTTCCCGTGTGAGGGTTCGATTGATGGGAGCTGTGAATGCTTGCTAACTGAATGTTGCGTTCGGCACCCACCTGAGGAGCTCCGTAGATGTAGAGCACCAGGGGTTCATTTTCGGGGATGACGAACCAGGCCTTCTGCCAGCCTCGGCCACCGCCTTTCTCCATGTGATGCAGGAAGCTGCACATGACGCTGTTCTCGGCCGCCAGCGAGGCTTGTTTCTACGGTGACCGCCAGGGGTTAAAGTAAGTCAGATGGAAGTCTAAAAGTCTTCCCTTTCAAGTTGTTGGCAAAACGCAAGTTACTTTGGCAACAATCAATCAAGTCAAGTTGAACCCCAGCGAACGAGTCCTCGCGACCGTGACGTCCCTCTCACCTCCAGGATAGAGCGCCTCCTCTGGCTGCTGCCGGCCACGACAGAAGGCACCGGGGACACGCCCACTAGCATGGCGTAGCAGTCCACGCACACGCGATTCGTGCGGTTGTTGTCGTACGAAAGGCGGGCACGGAACTCAGAGCATTTGCCGCAAACCACCTGGTGGTGAGACAGGAGGGTCTTAGAGGGTTACTGGCGGATGCCATGGCGACAAAGCAAGTGAGGTGCGATTGGACGCACATGACCGCAGGCTTTGCAGTGGTGGCGCCGCTTGGTGAGGGCGTTGAACGCCTCCTGGCACTTCATGCACAATGTCACTTCCTTCTCGCGGATGGGCGTCGGCGCACGCTTGCCCAGCTCGGCGCAGCTCTGACGGACGGAGGCAAAAGGAGTTGTGAATGTAATTGCATTTAAATCAATTGAATATAACTTGTTCTAAATAACGGCATTGTCATTTCCCTTTTACTTTATTTTTATTTAATAAGCGACGGGGGTAAAATCATTTTGAATGGGAAATAAAAAGGGAAAAAAATGAAGCCTTTATTTCGTGACCATTTTACGCAGCCTTAAACACACTTTCAGTGTTCATCACAATAAGTGTGTGCGTGTGTGTGAGTGCGTGTGTGTGTGTGTGTGTGTGTGTGTGTGTGTGTGTGTAGGAGTTTGCATGTTACCGGGGAGTGAGGGGGTGTGGACTCGTCGTCTCGTAGCGAACAAGTCAGGTGACGAAATGTCTCCATGGTGTGTTCGTGCCTCTGAATGGTGGCCTGAATGGCCTGCAAGACACACAAAACACACAAGCATATCCTCTGATTGGTTCATAGGCTGAATCATGCCGTTTGATTTCCAGTCTGTCACCGTGTCTTGTTTCTACCTGGATCCAGTCTCTCTTTTCATCTTCAGTCCTGCAGAGACACAGCATGTCAAAAAAGGTGAGCGGAGGGAACCCCAACGGTTGCACAGTTGTCTATTCCAGGATCATTAGCCTTAGCATTACCTAGCCTGCAGTTCAAGCGAGCGCTGCTTGCCTGACACCAAGAAAGTCCGAGGAACCGCCGCACTGCTCATCTCCTTCAGCTGCACAGTATAAAGGAAAAATGCTCTGGAGAATGGCTAAAATGCTAACATGCTTGTCGTTGGTAAGCTGACAAGATGACAAGATAGCATCTCAAGTACAAAAACCACGTGACCTGGTGTCAGGTGACAATTTCTAATGACAATTAATGATGTGCGAATAGAAGATGCTAAATTGACGCAATGCCACCCCCAACGAAAGACTCACCTCCATGCCATCCACATCGATGCGAGCTCGGACGCCATACTTCTGACCAATCAGACGCAGTTTGGGAACGCAGTAGAGCAGCCTGTCGTTGAACTGGAGGAGCACAGAGATGGTTAAAGCATCCATCATCTGATCCAGCTTCATCCTCACGAGGGTCTTGGGTGTGCTCGAGTCTATCCTAGTTGTACTCGGGCAATCGCCAAGGTACAGCCGGCACTGGTTGCCAGCCAATCACAGGGCACACATTGAGACAAACACCCATTCACCCCTACCATGCGTCTTTTTGGAATGTAGCAGAAAATCGGAGTACCCGGAGAAAACCCACACAGGCACGGGGAGAACATGCAAACTCCACACCGGAAAGCCGGAGCCCGGATTTGAAATCGGACCTCTGCACTGTGAGGCGGATGTTCTAACCAGTTGGCTAGACCATGGGCTCTCAAAATTTTGAGGTCCAGGTTACAAATATTTCCCAGGACCCCTTCCTAAACCGAACCCTTTGTCCAAAAGTGACTTGAATTTCTGTTAACAAACAGACAATGCGAGCGGAATAATTTTACAATGTCTTAAGTCCAATGAGAAAGGAGTCCAGTGGAAAGGAATCAGTGTGACTGAGGCTGAAAAACGCCAAAGAAACGGTTCCCATTTTTCCCTTGCAAAAGCACTCCATGATCGACACATTGAAAATTATGTGACATCAATCGTGAAATGTTCTATTGGCCAAACGCTGAAGTTGTGAGAAGTAATCGGTATCGTTGTTTTGTTCGCGCTGGTCCCCTTATGACGGAATGTAGGGTTTGTTTGTTTTTTCTAAATGATACGATTCCAAATTTGTCAGGGTGCAGGGGACCCCAGTTGAGAACCACTGGGTTAGATTTTCCGGCGGGCCTTAATGGTGGAGATGGGCGAGACAGAGGACCCCATACCAGGATGAGGTACCGATCCTGCGACGTGCCGTTCTTGTTGGACAGTTTGAGGATGTGCCCCTCCTTGATGAGCTCGTTGGTCGGGTTCACAATGTCCTCTTCGCCGCCCAGGAGTTCGTAGACCTTCAGCAGCTTCCGCATTCGCTCCTGAAAGTTACAAAACCGACTGTCCGAACTGTCGCCAAAGTTTGCGCTGTTATCCGTCCTAGGAAGCTGTTTGAAAAGTTCTCACCATCTTCTTGATGGCGGCGTTGGAATGTTCAGCAGCCGTGGCAATGAGCTCGAGAGACTCTGCAGACAGAGAGGATCTTGTCACCAACAGGCTCAAATGTTCATCCTTCCATTTTCTGTCGCTATATGGTGGCATAGCAACGGTCATCAATTCTCCACATTGTAGACATTGGCAAGAGGACAGCTGTCGAATCCTTGTCCATCTGCCTTGCGGCTTTTTGTACTCAGGTTTTTTTATTGGGACATGAGTTAGCATAGTAGCTGTTAGCATGACAAAAAAAAAATCCTGAAAAAAATCTGCCTCGGGGCTTTCTGAAATCAGTTTGCTTGTGTGTGTGTGTGTGTGTGTGTGTGTGTGTGTGTGTGTGTGTGTGTGTGTGTGTGTGTGTGTGTGTGTGTGCGTGTGTGTTCGTGTGTGTTTGTGTGCGCGTACTCTGAGCATCCTTGTAGTCCGGCGCGTCCTCCGGTAAACGGTGCAGATAATCTTTGAGCAGGAGCTCATATCGAGGAATTCTTTGGACTGGCTCCAACATGTGATGTTGAAGCGTCAGGTTAGCACAGCGTTCATCCCTCTGACACACACACACACATACATCAGATTGTTGACTAAACCCTCTTAGGACTTGAACTCGAACATTTTTTTACAACAAATAGCTCGGCTTAGGACTATAAGCTAGTGTCTGGACTAAAATTTTCTGTTGGTAGCAGACAGTTTTGTTGGAACTATAATCTACACACACACACACACACACACACACATATATCAGATTGTTGACTAAACCCTCTTAGGACTCGAACTCGAACATTATTTTACAACAAATAGCTCGGCTTAGGACTACAAGCTTGCGTCTGGACTAAAATTTTCTGTTGGTAGCAGACAGTTTTGTTGGAACTATAATCTTCTATCGGACTGGAATCTTCTCTCTGGATAACAACTTCCTATGGGTACTAAAATCTTCTTTTACAACTAGCTTGGTTATGTAAGGGGTAAACATTTCTCAAATTACAAGTGACATACATTGTTATTGATTGACCAAAGTTCATGAATGAGAGGCATTCAGTGGGTGCGCAACGCCGCTTTACGAAGTCCATTGATTTTTCATTCATTTATGGAGCAGATCCGCCACAGATATCGTGACCACACGGATGTTTTGCTGTAACAGGCTAACTTGGTCAATGAGGCATCAATGTACCGCACGTACGTCTATTGTGACGATGGGCGGGAGTCACCTGGATGTCATGTATGATGCTCTTGAACAGAGCCGACCTCTCCATCCACGTGTTGACCAGTTCCATGGCGCGGTCGAAGTTCTTCACATACTCTCCGTACATCTTCAGGAAGGGCGCAAGCTTCTGCAGGATGTCTCCAATGCGTGGGTTCGAGTCCCTAAGGATTTATTTTATTTTTTCAAAACTTGAGGACTCCCTCGAGGATACTTGCTTCTCCACTCCGCACCATAGCGTAGAAAAAGCCTTGCAAATCATCTAGTTGTAGACTAGCTCACCACTCTTCCATGCGCTTCTGCAGAGCCGGCAGCAGGAACTGCTGGTGGAAGCAATGGATGGAGCAGATGTTGGAGAAGATTCCGTGAATGACGTCACATGGGAAAGAGGAGCGGGAGCGCGCTTCTTCCAGGAGTCGGGCACAGAAGACCTGCGGGGAGCAACAGTGCCTCAATCGACATCTCCTGTCTGGACTGTGTGTGAGCGTTGTGTTGCCATGGGGACATACCTGGTCCAATAGGTGGAGTTTGGACACGTAGGAGATTTCTGTGTGAAGGAGCTCATTGGCAATGTGGAACACCCTCTGCTGGACAGATAGCTGGAAGATATATGATGATGTGTGTGAAAGCTATCGGTCAAAATATGTTGACGGTCAACATTGATCACACTCGACAAACAGTTCAATAGACTCCGGACCGATCAGTCCATGACAGGAAGGTTCTGTTCACTGTTCACAGCAACCAGTTTCGGGAGCCACTTCGTTTCAGAGGCATGACAACGAGCAGGAAGCTGGTAATCTCTCTTCATCTATTGTTGCCACTCATTCAAGTCAGGGTTATCGATGACAGCTTCTTGTCTTACCTCAGCCAAGTCTTGTCTGGGGGCTGAAAGCACCAAGGTAAGTTCGGCCAACTCCTCCTCCTCCTCCTCCTCGAGATCGCTGTCTGCTTCCTCTGAGAAGTCCCTCCTCCGGGCCGTGCCCCTGGCCTCGCCCTCCTCGCCCTCGCCAGCGTACGAGGACGAGCTAGAGAGTCGGGGGAGGCCACAGGAGTAAACTCCACCACCGCCGCCACTGTCATCCACACCCACGAAGCAGAGCTCCTCGCTGTGCGATGGCGAGCTGATGCTGTCAATGCCACTGTCGCGATTGGCCAGCTTGCCCTCCGTCTGCGAGGAGGAGGGGAGGGACAAACGCTCGGGCGGCGGACCCGATGGGTCGGAGGGTGGACGCTCGTTCATCTCCGCAGACAATGGCTCCTCTGGCCCCTCCCCTTCCGCCACAACGTCATCGGGACGTTTGAGCTCAGGGAGACCCCCCTCTTCCTCCTCCTTCTCGGGGATGATGTGAGGTGACGATGAAGACGGCGGAGATGAAGGTCGAGATAAGGGTGTGTCCAGGAGGCGGGGACACAAGGCCCCCCCTGTGATGTCAGGAACCATTATGAGCTGCTCTCTGCAGAAAATCGATTGACATGATACCGTATTAATATGCAGAACATAATAACGTGCCAATAACATGCTAATGTAAACTATAAACAAACCGTATCACGAAACGAAAAACGGCTATCAAATGTGTGATCATGTATCAAAAAACATTGCATCAATAAATATGACGATAAATCGATAAACAGGTATGCTCTAACTGGGATATGAAACCCCTGGGTTATCCTTTTTCTCACCTCTCACTTTTGAATACCTGTACATTGATTTCGCTGGAGCGTTTTTACGTTATTTTCTGTGTCTATGGCGAAAATGACAAAGTGTCTCTATATAGACGTACAGTACACGTGTGTCTGTACATCTGAATCGCAACTCGCCAGAAATACACAAGCAGAGGTAAGCAATCTCGGCGAAACTCAGCGACACACTTTTGGAGCATGGAGGAAACCGACGGCTCTATTCCTCTGGTGAGTGCCATGAATATGTGCTTTGTTAACGTTAGAAAGCACAAATTACATCGACTGGTATTTGCGTCCCAACGTCCAGGCATCGCTGTTTACATAGGGTTACTCATGGGCGGGCGCAGGGAGGGGGGTGCAGGGGGGCAACTCTGTCTGCTCACATCTGTAAATCCGATTGCTTCAGAAATCGGAATGTTGACTTTAACCCAAATATTGACTGCAATTGAACCTTCACTATGATCCTAGGACCCAAGTTGAGTTGGGCTTTATGCCCCTGGCAGGGTCAACTTTGGCAAACACGTCCTAAGTGTGGGACCAGACAAAGCACAGCTCACAGAGCCTTTGTGAAGAGTTATAATATTGGTGCCCCCCTTTGGAGGCAGGCAACGTGGAGTCCCCCTTCTCATGTGCTCACCACCTGCGAAAGGGGCAACAGCATCACGTACAATGTGGGCGGTGGATGAAGGCATGGACCTTGGAGGTCTGATTCCCAGCTACAGAAGCTAGCTTTAGGGACATGTCACCTGCCACCTCTCTGGCAAGGAAGGTGCCTTACCTTGTACCAGAGGTCAAGAAGTTCAGACTAGACGTAGTTGGACTCGCCTCAACACATAGTTTTGGCTCTGATACCAGTGCACCAGAGAGTGGTCGCCAAGCAGGTGTGGGCATACTTATTGTCCCTCGGTTCAGTCCTTGTACATTAGGGTTCATCCTGATGCACAAGAGAGTGGTGTCCTTGGTGCTTAAACACCAAACAACAGTTGAGTGCACAATGCTTTTTGGAGTCCTTGGAGGTGGTGCTGGAGTGTGCTCCTGCTGGGGATGCCATCATTTTGCTGGAGGGAATCAATGCTTATGTTGGCAATGACAGTGAGACCAGGAAAGGACTGATTGGGAGGAACTGTGTTCATAAGATGGTCAGTGCCTGTCGTTGTGGCAATCTCCAAACCAGGTGGTGGACACCACCAGTGGTTGGGGATGCCGACAAGGTGAAGGAATCCTATCGGGCCTCTTTGGCCCCTGGGACACTAGAGGCAGGTGTGGAAACTGACTGGCCAAGGAGAAGGCAACTTTGGCAGTTACAGAGGTGAAAACTATGGTATGCAAGGAGTTCAGTGAGGCCATGGAAAACAACTATTGGATGGGTTCGAAGAAATTCTGGTCCACCATCTGTCAACTCAGGAAGGGAAAGTAGTGCACTGTTAACACTGCGTGTCGTAGAGATGCACTGGTGCTGACATCAACTCCTGACGCTGTGAATCAGACCTCCTTGATCCTACCAACACACCTTCCTTTGAGAAGGCAGAGTCTCGGGTGGATGAGATCATCTCAGGGTTCCTAAAAGTTCCGGATATCGTGGGGCTGTCCTGGTTGACACACCTCTACAACATTGCTTGGACATCGGGTGCCTCTGGATTGGCAGACCCCTTTTTCCAGAAGGGAGGCCATAGGGTGTGTTCCAACTACACTCCCCAGACTCACTAGTAATGTCTATTCAGGGCTACTAGAGAGGATGGTCCATCAGGAAGTCGAAACTCAGATTCAGGAGGAGCAGTGTGGTTTTTGTCCTGACTATGGAACAGTGGACCAGCTCTCCACCCTTGGCATTGTCCTCAGGGGTCATTGGGAGTTTCCCCAACCATTCTACATGTGTTTTGTAGGACTGGAGAAGGCGTTTGTGGTGTCTGGGGCTACCGAACCCCCTGATTTCGGCTGTTTGGTCCCTGTACGACCGATGTCAGACTTTGGTCCACATTGCCGGCAGTAAGTCGGATTCGTTTCCAGTGAGGCTTGGACTCCGCCAAGGCTGGCCTTGCACCAATTCTGTTCATAACCTTTATGGATCGAATTTTTAGACGCAGCTAAGGCATTGAGGGGTCCAGTATTTCATCTCTGCTTTTTGTAGATGATGTGGTCCTGTTGGCTTCATCAAGCTGCGATCTCCAACTCTCACTGGAGCGACTCGCAGCCGAGTGTGAAGGAATCTGGATCAAAATCAGCACCTCCAAATTTGAGACCATGGTCCTCAGTCAAAAAAAGGTGGAGTGCCCTCTCAAGGTCGGGGATAAGATCTTGAGTGGAGGAGTTTAAGGATCTTGGAATCTTGTTCACGAGTGAGGGCGGGAGGGAGGGGGAGGATCGACAGGCGTATAGGGTTAGGATGAACTAGGATGGATGGATAAACTGAAAAATGTACTGTATGCACATGGTGACCTCTCAGATGATATCATCACTTTGAACTTTATCAGACAGCTTGGCGTAATATCACCACTACACTAATCATGACAGTGACCTTTCACGGTGACACCACGAGTGCAATGCCATCCCCATGGCATTGACATTACCATGGCAGTGACCATGATGGTGACATTCCCATGGCGGTGACATCACCATGATGGGTACATCACTATGATAGTGACATCACCTGGACGGTGACATCCCCATGTCCATGACATCTCCATAATAGTGACATCACCATGACGGTGACATCACCTTGATGTGACACTGTCTTGAAGTGATTATGGTGGTGAGATCCCCATGACACTAACCATGAAAGTGACCATGACGGTTACACTCCCACGTCCGTGACATCCCCATGGTAGTGACATCCCATACCCCCAGGACAGTGACATTCTTATTGCGGTGAGATCACCATGATGGTGACATCCCCATGATGGTAACTATGACGGTGAAACCCATATTATATTGACATCCCCATGATGTTGACATCGCCAAAGCAGTAATATCACCACAACGCTTCTCTTACCGCTCAAACTTCTCGATAAGTGACAGGACGCAGGTGGGTGAAGCATGGTCCTCAGGACGGGGGGGCTTGGAGGGTGGCGGAGGCGGCAGTGGCTTGTCTGGAGCCCGCGGTCGGGTTCTCAACGCTCCCGCCTGATGCTGCAGGTGGGGTGGTTTGGGGGGGACTGAAGTAGTGGGAAGTCAAGGTCAGTGATCTCACGGATGTGTTGTGATTGGTGTCAGCTGCAGGTGAAACTCACCTTGAGGCTTTGGGCCGAGCAGAGGAGGCCGGCTCTTACATATCTGTGGTGGTCCCGAGTCGTTCACCTCTTCCTCCTGGAGCCCGACGGGACTTGAGGAGGAGGAGGGCTGCTGGGGCCCGCAAGGAGGCTCCAGAGAGAGACTCTTAGCCAGCAAGCTAGGACTCAAGGAGGACGGGGGACCTGGCAGGGTGAATAAGGGTGAAAGATTTTGGCTTGTCATTGAGAGCACATAGGTAGCTGACATCAGTTAGTATGCTCGCTCAAGAATTAGCTTCTTCGCACCTGAAACATAAAAGCAGCGATGGGAAAATGAAGCTTTAAATTTGCTTCATGAACCAGTTGGTGTAATTTTTGACTCCTCTCAATGGCAATGTTGGTTTAAATAAAGGGGTTTAAAAAATGGCAAGTCAGTTTAGTTTTACCCCAATGCTGAACAGAGTGCCATTTAGATAAGTCAAAAAATACAACACTTTGTTCAAGAAGCAAATTTGAAGCTTCATTTTCCCATCACTGCATAAAAGCATTTCAGCAATAATGACATGTTAACTGTGTCGGCCACAGGTCAAGATGTTCCACATCAGATTCAATCAGCTTCTCATAGGCCGCACCAAGGTTGTAAATGCGGGCACTATCCATCCATCCATCCATTTTCCGATCCACTAATCCTCACAAGGGTGGCGGGAGGTGCTGGAGCCTGACGTAGTTGGACTCGCCTCAACACATAGTTTTGGCTCTGATACCAGTGCACCAGAGAGTGGTCGCCAAGCAGGTGTGGGCATACTTATTGTCCCTCGGTTCAGTCCTTGTACATTAGGGTTCATCCTGATGCACAAGAGAGTGGTGTCCTTGGTGCTTAAACACCAAACAACAGTTGAGTGCACAATGCTTTTTGGAGTCCTTGGAGGTGGTGCTGGAGTGTGCTCCTGCTGGGGATGCCATCATTTTGCTGGAGGGAATCAATGCTTATGTTGGCAATGACAGTGAGACCAGGAAAGGACTGATTGGGAGGAACTGTGTTCATAAGATGGTCAGTGCCTGTCGTTGTGGCAATCTCCAAACCAGGTGGTGGACACCACCAGTGGTTGGGGATGCCGACAAGGTGAAGGAATCCTATCGGGCCTCTTTGGCCCCTGGGACACTAGAGGCAGGTGTGGAAACTGACTGGCCAAGGAGAAGGCAACTTTGGCAGTTACAGAGGTGAAAACTATGGTATGCAAGGAGTTCAGTGAGGCCATGGAAAACAACTATTGGATGGGTTCGAAGAAATTCTGGTCCACCATCTGTCAACTCAGGAAGGGAAAGTAGTGCACTGTTAACACTGCGTGTCGTAGAGATGCACTGGTGCTGACATCAACTCCTGACGCTGTGAATCAGACCTCCTTGATCCTACCAACACACCTTCCTTTGAGAAGGCAGAGTCTCGGGTGGATGAGATCATCTCAGGGTTCCTAAAAGTTCCGGATATCGTGGGGCTGTCCTGGTTGACACACCTCTACAACATTGCTTGGACATCGGGTGCCTCTGGATTGGCAGACCCCTTTTTCCAGAAGGGAGGCCATAGGGTGTGTTCCAACTACACTCCCCAGACTCACTAGTAATGTCTATTCAGGGCTACTAGAGAGGATGGTCCATCAGGAAGTCGAAACTCAGATTCAGGAGGAGCAGTGTGGTTTTTGTCCTGACTATGGAACAGTGGACCAGCTCTCCACCCTTGGCATTGTCCTCGGGGGTCATTGGGAGTTTCCCCAACCATTCTACATGTGTTTTGTAGGACTGGAGAAGGCGTTTGTGGTGTCTGGGGCTACCGAACCCCCTGATTTCGGCTGTTTGGTCCCTGTACGACCGATGTCAGACTTTGGTCCACATTGCCGGCAGTAAGTCGGATTCGTTTCCAGTGAGGCTTGGACTCCGCCAAGGCTGGCCTTGCACCAATTCTGTTCATAACCTTTATGGATCGAATTTTTAGACGCAGCTAAGGCATTGAGGGGTCCAGTATTTCATCTCTGCTTTTTGTAGATGATGTGGTCCTGTTGGCTTCATCAAGCTGCGATCTCCAACTCTCACTGGAGCGACTCGCAGCCGAGTGTGAAGGAATCTGGATCAAAATCAGCACCTCCAAATTTGAGACCATGGTCCTCAGTCAAAAAAAGGTGGAGTGCCCTCTCAAGGTCGGGGATAAGATCTTGAGTGGAGGAGTTTAAGGATCTTGGAATCTTGTTCACGAGTGAGGGCGGGAGGGAGGGGGAGGATCGACAGGCGTATAGGGTTAGGATGAACTAGGATGGATGGATAAACTGAAAAATGTACTGTATGCACATGGGGACCTCC